AAAAATATATCGTATTTTTTAAAGTTTTATTATCTCTAGTGCTACTACGAAACTATGGTAATTAAATTTGTTTTGTTTATTGACATCTCCGCTGTGCAAAATCACAGTTGGCGCGAGTCTTCAACAATAATTTCTGGCTGCCTGTCAACACGGACAAAAAAAATGTCACATATAGTTGTCACATAAAAATTGCTCGTGTAGACCGGTCTTAGAAATCGAAGGCACTTCCATTCGGCCACGCGTATAATTGTGGTTTAGACTTGTCTTTGAAGTGCAGGTGCTCGCTCCTGGTTGTCAAGAATCAAAGTTAAAAATAATTAGTTTTAGTGAAAAAAAAACTGTATTCATAAATCATTCACATTAAAATTGTATTTGTAAAGTAAATCATAATTTGATTCGTCTTACCGTTCAGTCACAAAGGTTGAAGCAAGCAAAGAAGACGATCCTCCAAATTCGTCGTTTTGAAAATGATTGTACGAAGGTGCTGGCCCGCGCTTATCGAGAACCCAAGTTCATCTTGATATTTCATTTTAGAGGATGTTAAAATACTTATATCCCTCCTTTTACGCACAGAACACAAAAGACTTGGTTGAGGAAAACTAGTTTCGACTTTACTAAACCTTTTCAATTCACAACAGTTGTAGATCGAGGAATTGAAAAGCTCTAGTAAAGACGAAACTAGTTTTCCTCAACCAAATCTTGTGTGTTCTGTGCGTCAAAGGAGGGATAACAGTAGCTTGACATCCTCTAAAATCAAGTTAATATTCTTGCACTCCTTATACATCAACATTCAAAGACTATCTGAATTCAATTTGAAATGTTTTTTGCATAATAAAGGCATGTGTTCCAGGCATCTGTAACAGCACATCTGTTGCTTCTAGATACAAATCCAAAATTTCATTGCGGACTTACTTGGACAGTTTCTTTGTTATCTAGGTTTGAACATAAATGTACCAAAAACACAAATTTCTCTCTCCGACAGATTAAGATATTTTTTTAAAGAAATTTTCCCTTTAGCTTAATTGTTAAGCGTATACTATTTGACTGTTTCATGGTGCTAACATGTGATATTGCTTCTTAAACAAAATTGTTTTTTGACACACTATACTAAAACCACACTAAACTTTCAATGAAA